GTCCTCACAAATGACCGTCGAGAGGAGAAGGGGAGGGGCGAATATAGCTGAAGGCGACAATGACATAATTTTGTAAAACACCCGTCGAAGACAGGAAAACTCCCCTGCCACCACGTCCCCATCGAAATCCATGAATTCGGCCCCTTCCCCTCTTTCAACCTTTATGTCCCTCACTACGATCTTCCTAACAGTACTCAAATATTACTTCCCCCCTTTTAAGAACTGAGCAACGCACGGCAGACCTTGGTTAGAAGTAATCGCATAGAGGTTTCGTTTGTTTTCATACAATTTAGCGAAAAAAAGACTGCAACTCTAGCAGTTTCATAGCAATTTTAATCTTTTCTTCATCCGATGCAATCCCTCTAGTACATATAGGTTGTTTCTGTTTTCAAAACTATAATCGAATTACATCGCAGCAAGAGGAAATGTCAAAGACAATCATAGAAACCGACGAAACCACATGCGCAGCCCCAAACCTGACCCCAGAGAAAGGAACCAGCGTGCACCATGTGCAACATTAGGCACTGGACTTAACTAGAAAAGCGCAATTTCGAAGTCCAATGTTCCTAACGTATCACTGGTTCCTAAATGAAGCGATCACGCCGGCTTTTACGCAGATCTGCTACCCTAGCGTTATCAACCGATAAGGTCTGATTGTGAGACAGATAATGATTGAACGAAGATATGATACGATGAGATAAGAAGGTGCGGCTGCTTGATAAGAGGTGCACTCCAGAATGAAAACGGGACGATAACGATAACGGTATCATATCTAGCACGCTCTTATCGCACCCCTTCCACATCGATAAGTCTTGGTTTTTGCTGAACGGAAGTGGATTTCGGCGCCTTATCACTCCGTTGATAAGGCGCCACTGCCACTGAAACTTCACGTGTTCTAACATTGGGCAGGACCCCTATCCACTCCAGTACGTAGCTTTCCTTATCGTCCCATGGAATTATCGTGACCACTTCCTTTAACATGTACTCGCCTTTCTTATAAGCCGCGCCTCACGTATCCCTCCAACATGGACAGGGGAGGGGCAGAATCAAACATGGCGTCGCGGGAAATTTACACATGCCGAGATGCGCGAACTAAGTACTGTCTTTCGATGTATTTATCACTGGGATAGTTTTACAACTACACATTACTCAAACGCTCACATTATTTCGCTGCGATGACCCTGTTGGAAACGCTGTCAACCATGGCAAAGCAAAATAAGTGAGGAATCCATTTTGGAGATCTCTACAGCACGAGCTTCCGTTTAAGAACACTGCAGAAACCTATCGCTTCTATGTTCCGTTCAAAGTTTTATTCAAACCCAAATAGCCTAATTATGAAGGCAATGATGTGAAATCACATACCATTAGCTTTATGCATTTCATGTGAGTAATGACTCACGGACAAAGAGAACAAAAACTTACCATTTCTCCGTCCAGGTCCTCCGGGTCCACCGCTACCCTCACCAGCGTTCGATCTCTTAGATGACTTCTGCTTTCTTTATCATCTGCACCACTACTTAGCCCAAATAAGGACTTGAAGCTGCAAAAGTTAACGTATAAACCGCAAAGACGACAAGAAATCTCTTCACAAAAGCGTTACATTCTGAGGAGTCAAAAATGTGAGACTCGGCCTAATCACTTGGTGAGAAATTTGGCATTATAAAACAGTCAAATGCTACCTACTACATATTATTACTCTATTATAATTATCAGAGTGCACTTAAACACTTTTGGACCATTCACATAAACAAACAAGAATAGTAAACTCACAACAAGATTATGAATGAGAAGAAGGATAGAATGTAGGAAAAGAAGGAACTCCGATTTTCGCACACGTTCCCACCTGGAAAAAAGACTATAAGACAAATGGGCGGAAACACTTACATCTCCTAGATATCTGCTAAATGGGTAATGTTCCCGAACACGCACCATGTTTGTTCTTTCAAGACACAATGGCATGAAAACATGTTCCATAGCCGTAAAAGGTATGCCAAAGAACACTTTAATTACAAGTTCTGCGTAAAGTGGGCTTCCGTAATGTTAATGAAGATACTTTTTCAGAGCGGATTTACTCTTTCTTGCGCGCTTCTTGAGTGACTCAAGTAACAAGGCATAACTCCATCAAATGTGGATGAGATGAGCCACATGCAAAAAGCAGAGGATTGATAATTTTATTACCATTACGATTTCCCCATTTACCAATCTCAAGTCCAAATCCAATTCAGCAAATTATTTCAATGACTTTAATGCTGGAAAAGTTTGTTCATATAGATTGGTGGGTTCACTTGAACACATGACGGCAATACGTATAAACATAGGCAACATTTGAGAAAGGACTTCCTCAATATGAGATATCTAATGCGAAAAAACTCACTTGCATCTATGTACACCATGGCTATAGCGGTCAGGAGCGCATCGATCTGCCTAAATAAATGGTAATGTATGACGAAAGGAACTGACAGTCACGCGGCAAAAGCAAGACGACTAAAACCGGTTGTAAAATCGTTCTCCGGAGAAAGCTGCCAGAATATCTACACAATACCTCACACTTTAAAGGCCATTAGGTATACAAGATGAGTTGCTAAATTTATTCATCGAAGGTAGGTGGGACAACAAATCGGATTTTGAATAAGTTGAATAAGTAATATTATGCCTAGCATAAGGAGTCTTAGACCTATTGCCATTATGATCATCCTTCGCTTTTCGTTTTAAAAAAGTGCATTTTTGGAAGTTCACTACTTATTAGAAAGCTTTGATTTCGTAGTTTTCCGAGACCGTTTCCAATTTACTGTATAAGGATTTTGAGAAAAGTTATGATCGCTTGAAGGTTGAAATTTAGCATGCGTGCGAAAAATCTATCAAAAGCAGGATTCTTCAAAGAAACGATTTCTCTGAAGGACCCCTACAAGACAACCTGTTAGAAAGCTCATTTCTTCAGAACTTCCCCACTTTTTAAAGCGTCGCCTAAGATCACATTTGAAGAAAGTTACGACAATGTAGATGCAAAACTTCAGACTTCTGAAATTTTCTGGCATTTTGTTAGCTCACCTTACAACAGGAGGAGTATCCAAAATTGAGAGCAGTCTCAGTGATTGTCGCGACAGAAAACTTGTAGAACTCAAATATAGTTAAAAAATTTCAAATGAGAAAATCACGAGGACGCGCCCGTATTATCTGCAGCACGCTCATGCCTCCCTGTCCCCTGCCGTTTGAAAGATAGTTTGCCCTTTTGACCGCATTAACCTAAAGGATTCATTCACGGAAAACTTGCATTTTTTTCCAAAACGAATACGTCAGTTGTGATCACTAGAGACGACACAATATTTCACGCAACAAGATTCAGTTCCCAAAGACAAACATGCGTAAAGCACCACACTTTGTGAGCGATCGTAGGTTGGGCGGAGATAAGGGAACGCATTGGAAAAAAGTAGCCTTGCGGCGGCCACTTACAAGCGACGCATTGGAAGAATCGGGTCAAAGCGTTCGAATTTGGAGAATAGAGACAAAACGATCGAAGAATAGGATGCAGTAGAAAAGGAAATGTTCTCCATCGATGGAAAAGGACCGAAAAGGTTCCTAGCGAAGCCACTCCGAGAACTAATGAGATCGTTCCCGTCGCCAGCATTTGTGGCAGATGCAAATTCGACGCGTAACTGTCTCTCCGATTTTTCTAGTTCTTTTTTTCTTCACCAAAACCACGCTTTTTTTGTTCTGTTCGTTCGTGAATGGTGATGATAAGGCTTAAGCCAGTATTATGTAGGTGAGATAGATCTTGATTTTTCCGTGGATGATTCCTTTAAGCACGACCATATTTGGCTTTTTTCGTAGCGGATTCTCAGCACTTTCAATTTTCCGCCGGGAACGACAAGATGCGGTGCGTTCAGAGCTTTCTTCGGCCAGGGTGTCGTACTGAACCACAGAGAATTCATGAACATAGTTGACCTGTGCTTGACGTCACGTCAGCGATCCAATCCCATGGACACTGCTGTTTTGCCGCTGTCGTGGACTTGAAGACCAGGTTGGCCGGTACCCATTGGACCAAAGCGGTTACCGACTGGATCCCTCGGGACGTCAAACGAACACCAGGACGACCGCCGGCCCTGATGGTCAGACTTCTTCACGAGAAGCTCTGAATGGAAGGAATGCTGACTTGCGTGTTCCTCGAGTATCCAATGGAGCACTTTGATGCGCAAGA